AGAGAGAGAGAGAGAGCATGCAGCTCTGTAGCTCACTGATGTGTCAAAGTGAGCAAGTGCGTGGGAGGAGATGTTCAACATGGTGCAGTCTGTGGTGGAGGAAAAGAGAGAAAAAGAGAGAAAAAGAGAGGGCAGACTCAATGTGAAAATATCAACTATTATAACAAAACAATGTTACTGCAACACAATGCATACTCCACCAAAGGTCATCTATGGCATAGGCTTAAATCTGAGTATGATCTGGTAGCTTTATTGTTGCATGGTGTCACTTTATTTCTCACCAAAACACACACACGCATAATTAAAATGTGAATGTGGAACTTATCAAACAACAAGCAGTACTGCTCACATGATGTAAAGATAAGATTGTTGTTTTACGGTAATGCCATGTTGCTGTGTTTTCCAGAGCTGAGTTTCTTATTTACCAGGCTCTACCTTTTCCATAACAACTTTCTCTGAGAGGATATGAACAATAAAGCTATTCACATTTGCCTGGAACAATGCTGAGCCTGTGTTTAACACCTTTAGTGTTACAAAGACAATTTTTCCCCCAAGTTTTATCAAAGGCCACTTAAACTATTATTTTTCCTCGTGTGCGACATGAGATTAGTCAGAAAGCTATTGTTGTTTTGTTGTAAATTCCAGTAGGGATCTGAGAGCAAGCACTGCCCAGCTTCCTCTGTGCCCACTGAACTGCACTGTATTACAGGAGTGATAAGGCTGCAGCGTTTCCCCCTCCGCCCTGACCGGGGCAGACAGCTGCTTTACACCCTCAGACGCTGCCCTCCACGTCGGCATCAGGCTTCTCCAACGTGGGCCTGGCTGCACGTTGCTCTGTGTGGAGCTGATGGAGGATGCAGATAAGGGAGGCTGTTGTGACTGTGCTGTCTAAAAGCGAAATGAGATGTTGGTCAGATAGCTTCTTGTAAGTGACCCTGGTGTGGAATATCTGCATGTTGTAAACATGCCTATAGTGTATTATGTACAGAGGTGAAAAAGTACTCATATCCTTTACTTAAGTAAAGATGCCAATACTTTTACATTTAAAATTAGAAATAAATACAGAATTATCGGCAAAATATACTTAAAGTATTAAAGTAAATGTATTAATTCAGCAGAAAAAAATATTAATCAAATCACAGGCCCAGCTGATTGATATTTGAGTGTATTACATTGTGAAATTGTTACTGTTACTAGTGGCATTATAGCATTGGAGCTAGTAATTACTTTATACACCACTGGTGGACCCAAAAAAGTGCCCTCCTAAATGCCCCTATGTATATGTAATATGATAAAGAGCCCTCTAGGGTGCTTATCCTAGCCCTGACTAAGATGTATTTGTGCGCTGGTGTCCTTCTTATTTTTGTTTTGCTCAAACAGCCTGAGTCCACCACATTTAGTCCAGTGGTTCCCAAACTAGGGGTCGGGCGACCTCCAAAAGGTCGTAAGGTAAACCTGGGGAGTCATGAGATGAGATGAGATTTTATACATTTTTTGATCTTTCCTCTAGTGATCCCAAACCAGGGGGTAAATGGAAAGATTGCTCCATAACTAATTTGAAAAAGTGTATCAAAATTGAAATAAAACAATATATTCCTATATTGAGTCAGCTGTAACACCTGAACACCAAGCTGTCATAGATAACTAAAAAAGGATAAATGCTAGCTAAAAGTAATGGATGAACAATGAAAATAGTTTGAAGTAATTGAAATTGAATTGCATTCATAGGCTTATCATCTGTTTATTATGTACTGAACTGTAATGAACTGTCAGATACATGTGGGGGAGTGAAAAGTGCAATGTTTGACTTGGAAATGTAGCAGAGTGGAAATATAAACTTGTGTAAAACAGAGGTACTCAAGTAAAGGGCAGTATGAACTGCAAAACTGTACCTGTAAGCACCTGCTGCTAATAACATGTATGCATATGTTCTTTGTCTGGAGTGAAAACAGAGACACCATTTAGCACAGAAAGGAAATCAGAGACAATCTAAACAGTGTCTGTGTGGCTTACTCCAGGTCTGCAGACATGTGAATGTCGGCCTACGTGCAGATCAGAGTGCCACCAGAGATGCCTTGTCTCCACTCTACCATGTCAGTCAGTCTCATTAAAGACCATGCAGCAGCATGCCAGTTTCCTTCTCCCTCTCTCTGTCTGTCAGTGCTTCAGTGGTTCAGAGTGAAAACCACACATGAAAGAGTTCAAAGAGTAAACCTTTATCTGCCAGTATTGTTTGCAAAGTGCTCTCTGGTGCTATTAGCAGGGGATGGAAAATTGTGTATCAGTGAGGGCAAATGCAAGATCTTTATTTACTTTGAAGTCACGCTCACGCAGGGGCCCTTGGGCAAGCATGTGCTACCAATACTCTCACTCTCTGCTTGACATGCAACTACTGATGAAAGCACAGAGGCTATGCAAATTAATGTGAGGGTTGGTTTTAAAAGTTAATCAATGCATGTGCAGGAGACTCCATGGTGGTCTGGGGAAGTATTTTCATACCTCTTCGGTGATCCCCTGTGGTACAGTAGAACTGTTTACCATGTGTGTTGCTGACACTGGCTTTACTTCCTCATTGCTGTATCTGTAAAAAGTATAATAACTGAAAAATCATTATGTTTTTTCTGTTTCCCACTAACCTCGGTAAAACCCCAAAACACATAAGTGGTAACCTTTCCCTTTGACACAAACTGGTATTTCACATTTGATAAATATAAAATATAGAAATGACCTTTCTCCATCATATTGCACCAAATAGGGAAATATTTCATATTTTAAATGTGCCATTCTTGAACATGAATATATTCATTTTGCCTGCATAATTACATATTTACAGTGTGGAGAAATTGCCTAAAATTAAAAGTTTTTAAGGGTATAAACATTGGAAAAACAATGGTTACTTATGTTTCTGGGACTGGTAAGGGGCCCGGGGGGTCAAACAGGCATTTAATTGCTTTCATTTTAACTCATATGTGTTTTTATGCTTTCTCTTATACTACTCATGCCTAATAAGAAGACCTCTGCTTGGAAGCACGAGGGAATTTATGTCGCAGTGCAGCAGCGACACCCTGTGGCCACAAGAAGAACAACCACAGTGCGACTTCGGTGCAGTGAGCGTGAATCGCCGCCGGGCGTCGCTGTTGAGCGGCGCGCCGCGCTGACTGCACAGACAGCAGAAGTCAACCAAAGAATTTCTGCTACAGCTGATTCGGTCGCCATCTTTGTCGTGAACATAAACAACAGCAGCGAGTCGCGTTGGCACTTGGATGTTCCGCTGTCATTCGGAAGAAAGCGACCACCGTCCCCCCGCTGCAGAGCCGATCTTTTCGACCGAAGATGACACTTGGTTTGGTCCCCTGAGCCACCGCGTCAGTCGGGGTAAGAGAGCCTCGCTGTGGAGCAGCAGTGTCGTCAGCTGATGTTAACGTTGTAAACGGGTTGTTGTTTGCTCGAGCATGATGCCATGACAACGGTGCGGCTGTCATTAGCGCGCTGTGGAGCTGTTTAGCGATTTCACCTCGATATACGCCCGCTGTTACGATTCAGAGACGCTGCACCTGGACACTGGGGCTTTAAACCATGTTACGATAACACTAATACCACCTGACATGCACAGACACCACGCTAGCCAGGCTAGTTGGTGGTATGTGTGCCCCCCCCCAAACATTGGTGTCTGTTCTGAATTAAGTTTGCCTGTTTTTCACAGAGATGGGGATCCAGTGTGGATTTCCTCAGCGGGAGGGAGCGGAGGTTTAAAGGGGGGCGGGGAGGGCAGCAGAGGGGCCTTGCTGCTCGTCAGCCCTGGAGGAGATGGACCAAGAGTACGAGAGAAGACTGCTGAGGCAAATCAACCACCAGAACCTGCCGACAGAGGCCCGCCTGTCAAAGGTGAGATAGCCACTCTGGTCCAGTTCACTTCTCCTCACCCAGGTGCTAGAGGATGATCAGGAGGGCAAAGTGAGACATTTAAAAGCGCCCTGTTTTTCAGAATAATAATAACCCTTCTGGATTACTTATGGCTTTACTGTCTCTCTCTGGCCATCCCAGTGTGTCAGTGCTACCTGCAGTCCTGTCAGTGTTAAGTCAGGGGACCGCTTCATTCCCACCCGCGCTGGGAGCAACTGGAGCATCAACTTCCACTACGCCAACGTGAGCAGTTGGTTTTTCACCTACCCAGTCTGCTAAACACTTTCTATGTTACACTGCCCCACAAAGACACTTCAGTGACGTACCTTTCCGTCTCTGTGCAGGAGAACTGTCGCTCGCCAAACCAGAACCATAAAGCAAAGGATGCCAGCTCAGATTCAAGCAAAGGTCAGGCATTGTTGTTTGTGGATCATCTCGGTGGTCCTATTTTTTTTTTAGCTGTTTCTCTCCACCACCTGTGTTTCCATCACCGCTTTCACTTCCCCCTCCAGATGCTGTGGCGTATGCTGCCCTGTTGAGGAATGAGTTACTGGGGGCAGGGATAGAGACTGTGCCAGACCCTCACACAGACGACCGGCGGCATCCAACCCTCTCTCAAGACTCTCACAGCCTTTTTAGGGTACGAGTCATGAAACTCCACTTCAGTTCAAGAATCATTTGTTTCCAAATCCCTCCTAGAAGTCACCAAAGCTGACTGGAGACAACAGATTTTGGTGGAGCAACAAGATTTTCTCATTAAAATGCTGATGTGGCGTTCGTGTCTGACGCGTTTGGGTCCTAAAGAATATTAAAAACATCAGCTAGTATAACCTGCGTGTGACGTAACTTCAAAACTATAATTCTGCTTTGTGCGTTCATCCTCCGCAGTACACTGTCCACACTAAGAGAGTGCCTTTCGATAGCGATCACGAAGTCTCCCCATACTCCCTTTCTCCACTTAGTAACAAGAGGTAAGAAACGTGTCACGTGCTGCACCCTGAGCAGAAATGACTCTTAAACTACGCTGTGAGATGACGTTTCTTCTCGGTGTTTTTCCGTAGTCACAAGCTGCTCCGCTCCCCTCGTAAACCAGCCCGTAAGATCTCCAAGATCCCCTTCAAAGTGCTGGATGCTCCGGAGCTGCAGGATGACTTCTACCTCAACCTGGTAGACTGGTCAGCCGGCAACTTGCTCAGTGTCGGCCTGGGAGCCTGCGTCTACCTGTGGAGTGCCTGCACCAGCCAGGTAAGAGGAGGACCTAAAGACATGTTTTTTTTGTTTTATTGCAGTCTATATATCTATATCTATATCTATATATATATGTGTGTGTGTGTACTTTGTGTCTATCTTCAGGTGACAAGGTTGTGTGACCTGTCAGTGGATGGAGACTCTGTTACATCAGTTTGTTGGAATGAGAGGGTGAGACTGAATCTACTGCTTATTTATGACAGTAGTATAAGAGAACTGTATGTGGGGAAATAACCGTGTGATTTGACTCTGGTCCTATCAGGGGAGTCTTGTTGCTGTCGGAACCCACAAAGGTTACGTTCAGATCTGGGACGCAGCGGGAGGGAGGAAGCTGACCAGCCTGGAGGGTCACTCAGCACGTGTAGGTCAGTCATAAACCACCGGTCTGTTTGAGTCCGCTTTCAGCAGCACAACCCTAAATTCCAACATATACTGTGTACTGTAGCACTGAACATGTGGTGTTATCATATCAAGAAACAGCAGATGGATACTTGACAGCCACAGACAGAAATATGAACCTCCCCTCCTACCCTTTGTGCCCAAGGTGCCCTGGCGTGGAACGGGGAGCAGCTGTCGTCGGGGAGTCGGGACCGAGTGATCCTACAGCGGGACGTCAGAACCCCCCCTACTGCTGAGAGGAGGCTGCAAGGTCACAGACAAGAGGTGTGTGGCCTCAAGTGGTCTCCTGACCACCAGCACCTCGCGTCCGGAGGCAACGACAACAAGGTGAGAGAACTTCTTTGTTGGCAAATTTGAGTGAATGAGTCCTGAGGTCAGGCCTAAACAATCTGCGACAGTAAAAGTAAACATATTCAAGCCTCGAGATCCCGTTCCTTGTTGTGCCCAGCTGCTGGTGTGGAACAGCTCCAGCCTTCTCCCCGTGCAGCAGTACAGTGACCACCTGGCGGCGGTGAAGGCCATCGCCTGGTCCCCACACCAACACGGGTTGCTGGCGTCAGGGGGTGGGACCGCCGACCGCTGCCTGCGCTTCTGGAACACGCTGACGGGTCAGGCGCTGCAGAGCACAGACACCGGCTCCCAGGTCTGCAACCTGGCGTGGTCCAAGCACGCCAACGAACTGGTGAGGAGACACGCACGCAATACATGCTGCCCTGGAGATGCAGTCTCTGTATACAGATATTGGCCAGTTTCCAATGTCACTGAGTTGTAGGTGTGGCCTTGTAGCAAATTACAATAATCAGTCAAAAGTAATTTAACTGTTTGTAAAATCATTATATTTTCTAAAAACAAATAATATACTCTCAAAAAAGAGACATTAAAACAGTATATAGTAATAAATCAACATTTTATTGCATTTTCTTGGGACTTCTTGTAACATTTTGACCCGTTAATATACACTTAATTTCCATTCATTCAGACATATGTACAGTTACATTCCACACAGTATCTCTACAATAATTATCTACTGTTTTAGCGACTTGTTCTCCCTTTGTTTACAGGTGAGCACTCACGGCTACTCTCAGAACCAGATCCTGGTGTGGAAGTATCCGTCACTAACGCAGGTGGCCAAGTTGACAGGACACTCCTACAGAGTGCTGTATCTGGTAAGACTTCAGCTTTAAATGAATGGCCGTGCATGATCAGCGTCAAATGTAACTGGACCACAATGTCAGCTTCAGTTTGTGAAATGTACAGGAAGCGTACTCGTGTCCAGTGTCTTCATACGTTTATCCAGTGGTGGAGGAAGTGTTCGGATGCTTTACTAAAGGAAATTAAGTTCCAGATATGCGCTTACCAGAATGATCACACTCTCACCAGTTTTTCTCTCGTTGTCCTTCCTTCTCAGGCTGTGTCACCTGACGGGGAGGCCATCGTTACAGGAGCCGGGGATGAGACACTACGTTTCTGGAACGTCTTCAGTAAGACACGCTGCACCAAGGTACAGTGGACTACAGTACCACATATCCAGTCTATACAACTCTGATGAGGCCTCTACTTAACGATAGTTACTGAACGATATCTTCAAAGTACTTCAAGGTAAACTGAGGTGTGAAAAGCTACGTTCACACTGCAAGCCTTAGCGCTCTGATTTATTCCTCAGATCAGATTTTTTTTTTATTGGCTGTTTACATTATTTTGTATGTGGCCTATATCAGCTTCCACTGTGAACAGTCCTGAACTGACCCGCATGATGATTTTCAATCTAGAGTCACATAAAAGTCGCATGATGTGAAGGCACACGGCAAGAAAAATCAGACCTGTACCCGATTTGGATCACATATGAAAGTGACCCAAATCAGAATTGAGAAGATCAGATCCCATGCTATTTGTGCTCTTCACATTGTCATTAAAAAACAGATCTGAGTCACATATGAGCAACGCAGCTGTTTTGCAATTGGTCCAGTATTGAGGGAGAGAGAGGCAGTCTGCAGCCGCAAAAACAGGATACAACTAATCCTTGCTGACCGTAACAATACGCTTATTAAAGTGCTTGATTTTGCCACTGACAGGCTCAGATTCCAGGTTGAAAAAAAAGTTCTATACGAAAGCAATGTCTAATTTTAAGTTCTTGAATTTGTCCAAACATTATCTTGAAAGTCCTTTAAAATTCCCTGAAATGAACGTTCTCTTTACAGATGAAGGCAATAAAGGACAATAAGACATATTTGAATGTTTCTAACACTACGTCATTTCTTTCTCTTCACAGGAATCAAAGTCGGTGCTGAACCTCTTCACGCGAATACGATAGTGAATAGCCCGGGTCAGGACTGGTTTAAGGAGGAGCCCGCTGTGCTGAGCTGTGGTTGAAATGCACCAGAGTCACCGACAAACACTCACAGACTAGAGCCCTCTCATCTCAGCACCATCACTCAGTGCACCAAGCAACACTACAGGAGTCCTCCTCAAATCCACTTTTTCTACAGAGGATCCCAACTTCCAACAATAACTGCCATCCCTCACAGTGATGTCACTGGTTACAGAAACAAAAACAGTGTATTGTCAGGACACGTTGTCTGCTTAAAAAAAAAAGAAAGTTGGTCTTGTTTTCTTTTCTGTTGTGGAAGTGATGAAATTGTTTTATTATATATATTAGCAGAAGTATACACGTACAAGAGTTCAAAGCTATATAATGTCATGCCGTCACATTTTTAAAAGGCTCTCCTTTATAACAGAGAGAAGAAGAAGCCTGGCTCGGGTGGGGATGGGGCGGGTGGGTTTCTATATTTTGATAATGTGTGAATATGATCTACAAGCAGAATACAGAAGAAGAGAAACAATAAATAAGTGAACACTCACACACAGTTGCTCATGCAGCTGCAAAGAATGAACCGTTTATTGGTGTTTTGTCGGATGGAGCAGAAGTTTGGCTCCTGTAGTATCAATGCCTGGAGGTAAGTAAAGGGCATGTGGCACTTTTTTTTCCTTTCATTTTATCCCACTTTGGAAGTGACAAAGATATTTTATTGAAAACACGTTGCACAGATGGTTGGCTCGTGCTAATAACAGTCCACTTAATCTGTGTTTTTGCTTTGGTTCAGTCCAAGTTTTATGGTTTTTGGTAGTCCAGTGTTCATTGTAAAAAGTCCTATTTGCCCCCATTAATCAATGTTTTTTTGTTTGTTTTGGTTACTTTATTTTAGTCTTAGGAGCTACCAGCTCAGTCGAGTAATCTAGTATCCAGACCCCTGCAGGCCCCGACAGAGCAGAGAAAACTCTTTCACAATCTCCTTCACACGACGCTTGTTGGTTTGCTCCCTGCAAGAAAGAGAAGATGTCAGTGTATTTTGTCAAAACATGATGCAGTGATATTTCCCTTTGGCACAAATCTTAAACGTTAACTAAAAGTGACAGCACCATCTAGTAAAGTGTAAAACATTATAGCCATTTGGGTTGGTAACACAGAGAATTTGAAATATCCCCATAATTACCAACGATTATTTAGTGTTAATCAAGATATCACTCCTTTTCTTACATTATCAATTATTGTATAATTATATATATCACTTGTTTATAATATTAGAGTCTTCTCATTTGAACTGAACCACCACAGCTCTGTTTTCATATGACTTTTTGCAATAAAACTGGAAAACACTAATCTGGTGCAGGTCACACTCAGTTTATGGGCTGTGATTGCGTCACTGCACTCATGATAAGATTGGATTTGTCTCACAAACTATTTTATCAAAGGTGTCTGACAAGGTAGAATATGTGCAGGTGTGATACCTTTTAAAACATTTATTTGCAATGGAGACAAACTGTAAGTGATATGTTATTACCTGAGAAGCTGCTGACTGAAGGTGTGTTTCTGCTCTGTAGAGACCTGGGCTGAGGGAAATCCCGGGGTCTGCAGTGTTTCTTTCAGCCACTGGGACAGCAGAGCTGGACAGTGTCTGTTCAGACTCAACAGCACCTCAGAGAAGTGCTCTGTCAGACTACGAGGTGACCCCCCTCCAACCGCCTGAGACAGAAATCAGAACATACAGTACACTTCATAAGAATGGAAAATTGAAAAATTAAACAACATTTAAGGACAAATGCACTGGTTTAATAATAAGTTACAAAGGTCAGTAATGATAAATATTTTCACATGTAGTTGTCTTGTGTGTAACAACTGACTCACCTGGAGTATGGTCTCTGTCAGAAGCTTTCCATCCCTCTGCAACACGCCACCAAGCGAGGGCACGTCTTTACAGCGAGGCAACAGCTCTGTCTGCCAGGATCAGGGCAAAAATAACAAGAATCTGTTAGACTATGAAATGGAATGAGATGGAAAGTAAAATGATAAACTGCACATTTCTGCCTCAACTTACAAAGAATAGACCGGCAGCTTTTACTGTGGGCGTCTCAGGAAATTTCAGTGATAGAATCCCTGGAGAAAACACAGGATAAAACAAATTTCATAAAATTATCATAAAAAATGAGACGTTTTTAGGCCTACAAAAGTCAGATTTGAATTTGACCACATACTGCATCAAGTCATATGCAAAGGTGTAAAACTGTGCCACACAATTAATTTGAATAAGTAGTTATATAATTTTTTTAATATACCGTCCTGAAAATGTTGCAAATATATGCAGAAAAATAACTTTCCTATATCAAATATTGAGTCATTTCTGTGAGAATGGCCTGGATACAGTGCAAACACGTGCTGATACTCACCACAATAAAACAGCGCTTTAACATCCAACTGGTCAGACAGGTACAAATCTGGCTTCCTTTTAAGAATCTAATGGTAAAGAAAAACAAAAGTGATTTAGTTTGCTGTGTGATGCCGATGTGCATGACAAGGTATAAGAGTACTCAACCCACCTGAGCATGAAGGTGCATAAATGATTCTGCAATGTCAGGATGATCCCTTGGACCTGTAAAATAAATATAAGATGAGACAAGACAAACCTATGTCTAAAAGTAAGAGAAAATGTATTTGCCGGCATCCACTACCTTGCTGAAATATAGTAAGTGTGGTAGAAGTCAACACCTCAATAAGGCTCCTAATGTTAGAGATGTGGTGTTCCTCTCCAGCAAATATGTGAACCATCTAAAAAAGAGAGAGAGAATGACAACCGATCCCATGAGAGATCATTACATCCAGAGTGCTTTTATTTAGGTCCTGATCTGAGGGGGCGTACCTGCCGTGCCAGGTCTAGAGCTGAGGCCTGTGGGAAGGCGCTGTAGATCTGCCCCAGCATCCCGCTCAGCTGAGCCACCATGGGCCCGAAATCATGTAGGAGTGTTCGAACTGACTTATCAAATACCCCGCACACTGCCTGGAGGGAAGGGGGAGGGAGAGCGGTGAGTGATCATGAGTCAGTGGACACACACATGCAGAGAAACCATACGTGCACAGACACACACATCATCATGTACATACATATTTATGCAGTAAAAACAGTAAATTTATATATTTATACAGTAAAAACCCTCCTACCTCGACCACCTCTGAGTCATCAAGCCACTTGCTGAGGATGGTCTGGATCAACGTGAACACTTGCTGTAGCACAACAACAACCTAAAAAATAATTTAAATAAAATGTGTCCTTACTTGTTAAGCAGTAAATATGAAAATGTGATTTTATATTTCATATATGTGTGTTTGGTTCATTCCCGCATATTTAAATATTTTGTATGTTCAGAAATGTTGATGGAAAAAGCATCAGTCAAACTGCTATTTGACTAATGTATTAGGAAACAATACGGTAATTTCATGCTTGTTTTTATTTACATAGTTTTTATGGTTAAACTTACTGGGTTTTGTGTGCTCTGTGAGGGAGCGAGTCTTGGGCTGGAAGCTTCTAAGTTGTCTGCTTGTCTGTTTATATCCAGAGTGGTAAAGAGGCTGGACATCATGCCCAGGATGTGGATGATGGACTGTTTGTTAGAGGGATTAGGCTGCAAAGGGAGACAAAGTGGATGATATGTAGGCTTGGGATTAAAAGATACCATCAAATGTGACAGCGGTTGTGAGAACAAAGACAAAGAACAAAGATTATTGAACTGTAAAAGTTGTGTCAACTGCTGGAAAAATGCTCCTATATAAAGACCCACTAGTATCTGAGTCTTATGTCACAGACAGACACTGATCCTGTCCTCACCCTCGATAAGAGAGTCAATGAGCATCAAGATGTGTCTTATCTGCACTCTCACAACCACTTTGACCTACATTGTACTTTGTGACAACCCAATGTTAACCATGAGAAAAATAGTGTACATTTTGAGTTAAATAAATCTTAAAATTGCAAAAATAGAAGTAAAATAGTTTATTTTTAAATATATTTGTATTTACACTTACACATCAAGTGTAAGAGTAATTTTCTTCAAAATATACTTACAGTATACTATATTAAATGGATTTGTAGTGTTCTTATTACATGTGGAGTACTTATTAGCATACTAAATTTAATCAACTGAGTAATAGTGTGTTTAAGGTATAATTTTAAGAGTAGCATAAAGGGAACAACAACTTATACTTCATTATACAACCCTGCTTTGGAAAATGATAATTAAATAACCTTTCTTGTATCCTATTTTCAAAGGATATATTTAAATAATATATAAACTGTTCATCAGTTTTAAGGAATACCCTAACTTCCAAATGAAGTACTGAAGTACTTATTTTAAGTACAGTGAACTACGAGTAAAATACAATATTCATATATATTTGACTTAAATTTACCACCAAAACCTTGATTTACCCTATTTTTGTATATTATATATAATATTTGTACTCAGTCAATTATTTCAGTATTTATGGGGTTTTGTGTACAAGTTGCATGAGGAAGACCCTTACCTCCTGTTGGGCCAGTGTATCCAGCTGCTGGACGTGAGGGGTGATGAGAGTGTGGAGTCTGACCAGAATTTCCTCTACCGGCAGGGCGGACAGCAGGAAACCCAGAGCCTGCATCAACCACATGCACTGGCTGCTCTGCACACAGACACAAAAGAACACACACAGCACACATCAGGTCCTCTTCGCAGAGGCGGTTGGTGCCTTTGTTGTACAGGACAGGAAAGAACTGGTGGAACTTGGAGGCTGTTTACTCACCTTATGGACTTCCTTCAGTAATACATCCTGCAGAGGAACACAAGTGTTAATACAAAGACAGTAGTTTCACCTATGTTAGAAAGAAAAAAGAAAAAGCTGTGTGTCTGACCTGTGACACAGTCAGGATGTCCTGAGCGTAGGGTCCGAGGTCATGTCTACACTCCCTGCAGATCCTCTTCAGAGTGGATACGCTGGACACAGACAGCTCTGCCTTCACGAGGCCCTGAAGCACCATGGGTAATATGCCACCCAACATCACTGGGTGATCAGCCAGCCACTCAGCCAGGGATCCTGGCCAACAGGGGGAATTCAGTTCATGCCATGTATAGTGAATTTAAACGCAAACAGGTAGATCTCTGAATGGTTGAACTCTGCTTTTAATGTAAGTGTGTGTTGATAGTCTGGTGATTTTTGGAACTAGTACACTATACCATATATATACCATAAAAAATAGATTTCAAAATATCAAACATGAGTAAGAATGGATGATGTGTGAGAGAAATAAATGGGGGCACAATAGGAAACAGGTGTCTGTACCTATGGTGTACATGACGGTGTCAGCCAGCATAACGTTGCTGATGTTGATTCTGGGGATCAGACCAATAAGACCAGGGATAACGTCAGAGTAGTTCACATCTATGGTCTCAGCTATGGACTGGAAGCCAAATAACAGGGCCTCTGTATCCTGAAGTCGGAGAAAAACAAAGTGTGATGTTAGGTCAAGAGAGGGGAAGAGGAAACACAGAAGGTGGTGGGTAGCATTATTTAATATAAATATGTGTCAGGCTTAAAATAAAGGTTGGGGGATTTTGTGATTAAAAGAAAGTAGGTAAGCTGACACAATAGATTTACACTTGCTTTTGCATGCATGCAGTGTTTGAATAAGCATTTCATTTTCACATTAAAGGGTAGCTTTAATATAAATAATTTTTCAACCTGAACAATTTTTGAAATCGGTCCAGTATTGAGCGAGAGGGGCTGGCAGCCGCAAAACGGGCTGCAACGTAATCCTTATGGGAAATTGTGCATCGTCATTGCACGTCCACTAAAAGTGCTCAGATTGTTATTGTAAGTGCCTGACATCATTATGGAAAGGATCCTACAGAGGTCAATGTTTTTATTAAAGAGTAAAATCCTTTTCGTTTAACCAGAGACAGGAGTTTGCTCTGTTCAAAGCCACCAGACTCCATTGACAGAAACAGTCATTTTACCTTTGCAGATCATACAAACCCGACAGAAACTTTCCACTTTTCTTTCCACTGTTTCAACTATTACCAACTCTGGTTTGGTTAAAAAAAAAGAAGAAAAAACTTAATTTACGGAGTTCGATGTGAAAATATTTGGACGGGAGCAAGAGGGAGGTCGGCCATCAGAGAGGCAGTGGAGAGAAACAGCATGTAGAGCCAGAATATTTTTACATCTAACCTTGGATGATTACACTGAAGTCAGTTTCATGGAGGCCAGCTGCAGCTCTCTCGCTCAATTTTGGACCAATTTAAACATTGTTGTGCCCATAATGTGACACAAAATGTGAGAAAATAGGGTCCAGATTGAAAAATACCAAAGTTGGTCTTTGAGTGCTTCAATGGGAGTTAGTAGCTGAATTAATGATATTACCTGCCATACTGCTGACTGTTGGGGGTCGATCAGCTGTCTGCCCAGCCTGTCGTATAGGTTACTGAGCAGCTCTGCCCCCAACATTTCATACACGTACATCAAAGTGTCGGAAATGTCCACTCTGAAAGGCAAAATAGTCTTGAGAAAACAGTTGATAAAATCCAAAGCTCAGTCTGTAACTACCACTTTTAGCCACACTGGCAGAACTGTCACGACAGCTATTGGCTGGATTGCCAAGAAAATGTTTCCCTCAGGATGAATTGTAATCACATCCTCTGACTTTATATCTAGATGTACTTTTGGAAAGAAATAAATTGCTTAAAATCCATTTTTAGAGCTCCTTAAAAACCTCCTTTTGTTTTTGTGTCTTACCTGTATATTCTGAACTGCTCCTTGTCATCAGAGGACCAGGAGGCATAGTCCTCCTGAGAGGGATAGTGGGATTTATGTAGTAGCACGTCCACCAGCTGGAAGTAAACCGGCCTGTAGACCTGCAGGTAAGCTGCCTGTTTCTCCTCCTCAAATGACAAGATGTCATCCTGAACATGCAAGAAAAAGATTAAAAATAAACTCTAAATCCTTTGTTGGTTACACAAACACACACGTTCAAATTGAATGCATACAGAAGTAACTTAGTAAACTGAAAAGAACGATAGAAAACATTTATTTATCTCATCCATTCACTTTACCTGCAGAGTGTACCAGAAGGTGAGCGTAAGGGAGCTGGTGGTCTCACTGACTGGGTAGTGCCCAGGTATGCCAGTACAGAAAAGAATCATGTTAACCAAAGCCAGATATTCTTGCCAGTGCTCCACTTGTTCCAACAAAACCCTGTCATACACAAACACATTCGTCAAAATTAAGAAATACAAGCCATGTACTGAAGCCAGGTTATAGGATGGTGGTGTGTGTCTGTGTGTACCTGGAGTGTGTTTCCCCCATTGCAACAGAAATACGACAGATACCATGTGAGGTTTCCATGTCCCCGTCCTGAGCCGCTGTCTTCAACTGGTCATGGAGACCCAGCACCAGAGGCATCAGGTTCACCAGAGCATCAATGTACCTGCACACACATGTTCCGATTTACACACCTGGAAGTTGTCTTTAATTAACTTATGGTCCAGTGTGTTTCTCACCTCTGGCAGTCAGGCTGTGAAATGGCGTTGACTATGGTCTCCACAGCTGTGTCAAACAACTCTGGGTTGGACAGTGCAGTGAAACAGTCCTGAACCAGTTCATGACTCTCCCCTAACGGCACATCCAGCCCCACCCAGCTGGACAGGCAGCGGAGCACCTTCTCCTTCACCTGGTTCGAGGAGTCCTGGCTTTGGAGCAGCTGACGGAGCATGGGACACACCACTGCCCACTCTCCAGCCAGGGCCTCCCTCAGCTGGGCTCGACGAGCTTGAGCCAGCCGGCTGCTCTGGAACTCCTCCGGAAGTACGGTGAGGAGCTCCAGCAGTGCGAGGCAGTGTGCGTGAGGGTCCTGTGGGGCCTCAGCACCAGAGGCACCTTCAGAGTCAGGCTTCTGCGGTTGGAAGGCCCTCACCATGTCCGCCACGGGCTGGGACCAAGCCTGTGGGATTAAGTTAAGAGCCATAGCGGCCAGGGCAACACACAGCCTGGTTAGCACCATTCTTGGCCCCGAGGAAAAATGCAGGATGTGGGAGAGGAGCTGCATCCTCAGGCTCTCATGCTGGTCTGTGGGGAGGTCACTCCAATGACGGGAGATCTTGATGTGGAGGGTGCTGGCACCAAAAAACTGCACCTCTGGGAGCTGCAAAGAGATAGACACTGTAGCAGCTGCTGTAGACATGCATTAATCATTGAATTCAACATAGCAACATTCACATTTTGCAGCTTACAGCACTAAAACCCAACCAGCAGAAGCACAACAACCGACCTTGTCAGGGCCAAGGAGAGACCAGCAGAACTGCCATGCCTGTGCAGAGGTCTGGGCCTGGGTCAGCCACTTCTGGGCCACATTCTTACGCTCCATCTCTGGGTCAAAGTACAGCTGGTAGAGAGCCTACGGAAGAGAGAAGAACCAATACAAAGGGAACAAAAAGTAAGTTGGTAATTACAGATGTACGGATAATATTGATGAGGATGTTCCAGTGGATCAAAATCATAATCATAATAAAGTTAAACAATCAATATTCCATTTCATGTCCACTCTGAGGCGGTATTACGACAACAAAATTAAACTGTGTTTGATCTTGTGTAACAGGTTGACTCATTTTATTTATCAATCAATCAATCAATTTATTTGTATACCTTACAATAGCCGAAAACCCAAAGTGCTTTACAACAAAGCCATAAAACAATACATAATACATACAAAACATACAGATACAATTAAAAGTGCTGTAGTGTTGCAGCGCTGCAGGACATTAAAAGCCTTCCAGAAATGCATAGAAAGGAGCAGACAGAAGGAGGGACACCTAAGAGACATATGCCCTAGTCAGAATTAAATGCTAACTTTAAATTGAATTCCTGAGTTAAATTTACAAGCAGCATTAATAATCATGCATGCTGCAAAACCAATTGTTTAAATAGAGTAAAGAAATGTGTTGTCATGGCAACTAATCCAAAGCACATGGTGTTAGTTATTATTAGGACAGCATATGCTTATAGCTGGTATCATGTTACAGAAGGTCCAGTTTGTCTGATCTCCCTGATGTTAAAGTACAATTATCAGACCGCAGTTTTCTATTTGATCCAACTGCTGTTGTTTAAATTTTATTTGAGATATATTGAATTAAATGAAAATATATTAATATGATTATGAGATGATGCTGCAGCGCTTCTCTAATCACAAACATATGTATTCAAATGAGTCTTGGTGTTATGAAGCTCCATATGTGGGCTCAAAACCATAAACATCAGCCAGTGAAGAGGCTGGTTATTGTCAAGTAACTTACCGACTCCACGTTCTCCACCGTTACCTCCAACTCCACCGGGCTGTCTCCCGGATTGGCTGGAGGCTCCATCTGGCGCAGCGTGAGGGAAGGTGTCTTCCTGTTGCCGCTGGATATCCCTCAGAAATTAAAGCCTGCTCGGTTAAAAAAAAGGAGAAGCGATTAAAACGAGGCCGCCCTCTAAAGTGTGTGAAAACAGGCTGGCAGAGGACGCAGCGGGTCATTCAGCTGTCCATACAGTACACATGTGGGCAGTGCGCTCAGCCATGACGACATACTGACCTCTGCGGGGGCTGAAAAGTTGTTGTCTCACATTACCACCAGCAAACACTGACACCTACTCACCTACCACTGTTCAACGCCTATAAACTAATACCACAGCACGCCTGCACTAACCATGAATACAGTCCAACTTGCCCACAGCTTTGACAGACGCTCTACAACAGGCGCTCCTGACGCAGACAACTGCGCCTCTGACGCACTGACATCTGATTGGAGCAGAGGAGCAACAGCGGCTGCAAACTGAGGCATTTTTAGGAGGAACAACAGATCGCAGAGATGAGTGACTCGGGGGGGCACAGAGCTGGGCAGTGAAACATGGATGTGCAGTGGGGGGGGGCGTTCCGCTCTTTAGAAAAAAGCGCGCACGGCTTTCGTGCTCCCCGCCGCGCGCCCGCCGTGCAGCTTGCCCTGCAGCCCCACCCCTACTCCTCTTCTGCCCGACTCCCTCAGGATATTTTTAGCGCTGATGATGTGCCCTGTCAAATCACGTAACGGAAACAACCTCAGAGCTAAAAAAGCAGAGCCGCCGTGGAGAGCCCGCTTCGGTCCGGTTTTTATTGCGATCTGCAGGGAAAAGGCCGCGAGAAGATGAGATTTGAAGTGAATTTGGTGTTTTGCGTGTTGGTGGTCCTTACCGGCTCATCGCAGGCAAGAGGTAAGGTGTCATCCCTGGTGTGTGTGTGTGTGTGTGTGTCTTTGTGATGTGGACAGGCTGCTGACGTGAGTTGGACTCGTTATCCATTCAGCACATGATGCTCTCGACAGTCTATTGATCTTTTTGAAAAGTTCGTACAAAGCTGCAGGCTGTTGATCATTATTAAATGATGTTCAGTTTATTAACCTTATAGTCCGCTAAGCAGGGTGTGATCATTTAGATTTTATGTTGAGCAACAAGGCCAGCGTTTCGTTTCCTATATGGTTATTCATTTTCTCCTGATTTCCAGTCTCCTGTTTATTTATCTGAACTTTTAATATTATGCAGACTTCATTTAGACTGCTCACCGTGTCTTATTTCCATCATTCATTTCATTTAATGCAGGGAAATGCAGCAAAATACGCTCCTGCACTGTGGTCAGTTCATGGTTTAGAATTAAAAATGCACAGCATTGCTGTCAGAAGACTACGGTGTGTTAGTTAATTAATCAATTAGTCAATAGCAGAAGATTTAGCATAAACTATTTTCAAAAATGGCAACAAAAAAACAATGGTTCTAGCTTCTCCAGTGTGAGGGATTTTTATGACTGAATCTCTTTGTGTTTTAGAGCTGCAATTAGTAGATTAATCGAGTAGTTATATGACAGAAAAGAAATCTGCAACTATATTTGCAATAAACAATTAATCATTTTGAGTAATTTCTTAAGGAAAATTGCCAAACTCTGAATCCATTACCTAACATGTGAATATTTTTTTTCTGCTTTAGTCCTCTTTGATAATAAACTGAATATCTTTTGGTTTTGGACTGTTAGTTGCACAAAGCAACATCTATTTCACTGTATGTTTATTGTAAGTGGAATTTTTTGGGCACAATTTTACAGCCAAAGCAATTTATCGATTGTATTATCTTTCATTTCATAGGTCAGAGCAGTGCCTTGCCTCCTGTCCTCACCCTGGCTGCCCGCCCGAGTCATGCTGGAAGCTCAGCATCTCCTGACCTGACAGAGGATCCTGGGAATGAGGTCCCACAGCGGACACATGATCCTGCAGGCAAGGATGAAACATCAACTCAAACCACTACCAAGACCGAAGGGACAGTGCATTCAGAGACTGCGACAAATGCAGTATATAAAACACACACGCTGAACAAAAGCTCTGCAGTGGCTACATCTCAACACACAACTGTACCTGTTGTCACAACCGCTCACCCGGCTACTCCTTCACCTTCAGGTAACCAAGACAAACCTGCATGCACTGTTTGCATGCTTCTTCTTTCTAAAGTCCAGGCCTTTATCGAAACTTGGAAACATAGAAATTATGGTCATCATTTCGTCCATAATTCTATAATTGTGCATCTATAATTTTCCAGTCCAGACTGTTTACTTTGTCCAGATTCTTAAAATAAAACATCCCATACGCTGAACGCCGTTTGCAAACACAGACGTCCTCCTCAGACTCAGCTCCATTGCCAGCAGCGTTCCAGGAACATATTCCTTCCCTGACCCCCGCATGACTGGACCAAGATTGAGAATGTGTGTCGTAACCTTATTTAAGATCAGATAAATATAACCCCCGCCGCTGATGCCATGTTGCCACTTTGAGCAACTCAGAAATAACAAATAATATGACATAATGCCATCCAGATCACACTTTTGTCCCCTTTTTTTAGCTGTTGTTGTCACTTCTCTGTGTGTGCCTGTAGAATAATGTGGAGGTTGTCACTTGGCAAAAGCTACTTACTTTGATTTGCTTTGCAACTTACTGAACAATATGCACAAGGATGTCTTTCCAACAATGCCAAGCATCATGATGAGGCAATACTTTTATGCTCTTTGCCTCTCAGTATACAATACTTTGACATTGCTGACAGGAGCACTAATGACTGTCTGTCTCTTCAGTCCATACATGTAAACAGTAGGCAGATAGTGTGACTTTCCTTTTTCTTTGAACACACCCCTCTCCCAGCCGGCTCCCCAGCTGTCAGCATGAGCTGTCAAACATGATATAAACAGACACATGTGCTTAAAGTGGAATGCTGAAAGAGGGAAAGTGAAGTACACCTGCTGTGTTCATTTTGTATATTCAGTATTTTCACAAGAAAATAAAAACATCACAAAAAAAGGAAACTCCTGTAAATTATAATGCAATACAACAGTCCTACAACAAGTTAACTCTGCTCACTAGGGCTGCAACTAACAGCTATTTTCATTATTGATATCTACTAGTCATTTTCTCGATTATACAATGATCTGTTGGTCTTTAAAGTGTCGTTTTGTTGAAACAACAGTCCAAAACCCCAAAGATATTTAGTTTCAGTGGCTTGCACACTTACTATAACGTAAAAACGTCATATTGCAATTATTTTTCGATTCACAATTAGTGAAGGGAACAATCATTTTTGCATCACAATCAAATCATGATGATGTGACATTGATTTGGGTCTCTACTGAACAACTTATATGTGGAGATTTGTAGGTCAGAGCACCTCTGAAGCACTACACTTCTTCATTATAATGCTGTTTTGAAAAATCTGCAGCTTGTGCGATTTGCTCTAGTTTGTGTGGCTACTTGCTGTCTATCTGAATCAGCCAACCGTAGTGACGACCACCATTATTATGCTGTTGATTTGATCCATGAAAATAGGAACACGTGACGGGTCATTGCACTGTGCTGGCTCTGTTGTAAACAGGGTTTCTTGGCGTTGTCAAACAGGATAAGTGGGACCTGACAATAAAAAATACACACAAATAGCAGCTTTAATGTCAGAGGGAGCAGGGTGGTGTAGAGTTATCTCAGGCTGCTGTGTGTATGGTTTGTTTCCTTTGAAGCATTCTCTGTACTGTTTGGAATTGATACAGCACTGCCCTCACTTTCAGCTGCTGCAGATGGCCTTTCATCCACACCGATTGTACAGAGTACCACCCCCCCACAACACATCTCAGCCACTGAAGGCAGAGCCCTTCTGACCACAGACCCCCTCACCACCTTTTCATCTCTGCCAGCCCACTCGGTGCAGGATACAAGCCCCACAGCCTACGCCTCCACCATCCATCCGCAGTCTGAATCACTGACCACAGCCACCGCACAGCCAACAACCACAGGGCACCCTCTGACCTCAGCTCTAGGCCGGGATCCTGCGGGGGCAACGCACCAGGAGGTCCCATCTGAGCTTAATGTTGGAGATGAAGGTGAGGTGATGGACAGGTATTGTTTTAGGCCTGCTATCTTAAAATGTTTTATTACGTTTGTCTGTTTTTGTGTCATTTAGACCTCAAGGGGCCCCGCTACCATTCCAGCTCCCCTCTGGACCCCCTGCTAGCTGGTCTGCTGTCCGTATTCATTGTCACCACCGCTGTCGTCTTCGTCATCCTCTTCCTGAAGTTCCGCCAGCGGACAAACCACCCAGAGTTCCATCGGCTGCAAGATCTACCCATGGTAAGATGCTCCTTTTGTGCATGCATGTAGTACAGTACAGTAAGACTGAGACACCCTCCATGATTTTGTTTAAGTAATTAAAGGGGCACCAATTATTATTAATTATTTAGTATTTTTATTTTATTTATTTCAGTTTCCTGAGGAGCACAACTCCTTACACTGTGAACTCTATAACACAATAATGTTTGCAGGTTTTTAACAGAAATCTGTGTTATGAAACAAGTGGAGGTTTACCAGGCAGGGAGGGTCTAAGGAAAAAAACTATCCCGTTGCATTATGGCAAATGTAGGACCCAGTGGTTTTTTGAGCTTGACTTTTTGACACCCGTTGATTTGCAGTAATCTTACTTCTCACTGGACTTTTTGTTGTGGTGGTTGTTGGTCATAATCCGACCTGCATCCCTGCAATTGTGGAAGGTCAGGAATGTTACAAACCATTAAAAAATTGGCAATAAAAGTGATTAATACATAAAAAATAATGCATACAATGCTTTAATAAAAAGTGTTAAATTTTGAGTATATAAGCATTTATCTTGCTGCATTTTTCTCGTCTTAGCAAAGTCATCCGTAACAACTATTCTACTCTGAATACATTTTATCCTGTTTAAATCCAGGATGATTTGATGGAGGACACGCCACTCTCCAGATACAGCTACTGATGGAAGCATCCTGTCAGTCATTTCCACTACCAGAGAACAGACACAAAGTAGACACCAAAGGAAGACCAGTGTGGATCAGAGATAAGCTTTTGCCTGGATGCAGATGAATTTCTGCAGATGAGTTCCCCCTTGAGAGTTTTGGGTCAGTGATAAAAATGTTTATCTGAGGTTCCACGAGAAAGATTCATAAGTGGGAGGTTTCAGAGCTTTTTTCCACATTCCCTTTAAATCTCCGGAGATCTTCAGTCTGGTGGAAACTTTTTGTTTGATTTCTCTCCTGAGGCGAGTTAAAGTACCTCTGCACCCCTGACTGACTCCTCATGTATGCACAGCACTTTACAGTGGCATGAATGGTTACAGTGCCCCCTAGGGGACATGTGAGGTAATGTGGATTAAGGTTCCATGAAGTCCTCCAGTGTAATTAATATACAACCTCAGGTTATCCAGCGAGAAATATGAGAGTGAGAAATAAATACAAAATGAGAATATTATGTGCTTTAAGACACATGGGAAAGTTGTCAACATGCCTAAAGTGATTAAGGAATATAAATTATGATCCCTTACGTCAGTGGTTCTCAATCTTTTTGGTGTCACAAACCCCCAGATTGATATACATCAGGCCGTGGACCTGTATTTGATAAGATGTAGTCTCAGGGATGCCTGTCTGATAAGATTTAGTTATTCCATAACTTTCTATACTGTAGAGTGTGAAATATGAAATAACATTGAAATTAAAATATTCCCCATTTCTCTGGGGAAGCACTAGAACCCATTCAGGGCCCCAAGTTGAGAACCACTGCCTTAGATGACCAAATATTAGTGAAGTGCACTTTGAAACCAAATTGCCAGGTTGCACATGTTGTATTAAAACTGAGGTGTTCACACAAAATTCACACAAAATTCAAAAGCAAGTGATTTTACAATTCAAAAGCCATATCATTGGAAAAACAGACCCACCAATTCTTACAGTAGAAGCCGCTCATTATTCAGTTGTTCAAATTTATTAACCAAGTTACCCCAAATTGTATGTGGTAAATATGTATTGTTACAGCCTATTACTGTGTAGTTACACGTGTTGGCATATAATACTTGAATTTGGTTATTCTGTTTTTAATGATGAATGTTTAATCCACCAGTGCACACTGAGAAGAGACCTTGCTACACTAAATAAACACTTCTATATGAGTAAATTGTAATGGTAAAATACACTAGTATTGTTAAATGTGTTATAAAATTCCTATTTATAAAGATATGTATTTGTTTCTGCACAAGGTGTTCATTCAGATGCTTAAAGTGGAGACAGCGAGAAGAGGCACCACGGAGTTTTAACGTTTAGATTGTCGTTACCTGTATCTGTAGTAGCTGAAGTATCATGCAAATGTGCTGGAACTACGTTTTTACCTAGTGTGTTCTGAGTTACTTTGACGTTAAGTGCCGACAGTGATGTATGATTATATGCCTTTGAAATGTGTGACTGTAAGAATTTGTTGATATAAGTATTTCCTGTTTGATAATAAAACAGAAACCCCAGTATAAGACTGAAGTGGTATGTGTCTAGAGGGTGGGACCTTGTTGAAGTTTTAGGTTAAGGCATAGTATGTGAGTGGGGTGTAAAGAATTGTGCTGTGTCATTGTACAAAGGGCATTTTCTTTCACAGTTAGTTGTGAGCCCAACAGCTCAGCAGTGATTAATGTCCACCTGCCTGTACAAGCAATGTGGACTTTAAACAAATACTCAGCTTTCAAAAACAGAAAGCCGCTCCCTTAAACACACACATAACAGATAATTTATAACCAATGTATAATATTTAATACCAGCACCACAAATGTCAAAACCCTGTTTTCAGGATGTGAACCGTCTCAAAAACAAAAAAATGTACCGTCATCATGACAGGAATTATTTTTACTCAACAAGAGGAATATTTTTGACGAACCTTTTTCAGGTATTCATTCATATACAAAATCTGACTCTTTCAGCTAAGCAAATGCAAACATAAAGCGATATTCTAAACATCTAACATGGAAGGCAAAAGTCCTTCTGAAAACTCACCTTTTATTACAGCATGTGTTTATTGCAAAAGTACATTTAATATGAAAAGTCAAGTGACAAACATTTCAGGGCGCAGCTGAAAACAAACTGAACTCTTGCATGTTGTGGGAGTGCCCATCAGTGAAAACACAATATCTATGATCCTAAATGAGGCATTTCCTTCCAGGAGAACCGGTCAGGTCACTTGACAACTTCACCTAACTTCAAGTGTTACATTAATCAGAGGTTAGCACACATGTTGCAAGTTATATGGGTTATGTAGAGTGGCTTTGATTATAAAGTTGAATCACAGGGTGAACCCATCCTGAAGACTTCACTCAGTGACAGTTAACCTGACGAAAGGGGCCGATCCGTGGCCCTGTCCAGCCGAGCAGGTGGCGGCCGTAACTGGCTGTGGTCAGAATCATCCCGAGCATAGCCAGGTTCCCGAAAGCTCCCCGAATTCTTTTTTTAGGATCTGATGAATAGTAATAACAATAATATCACCTTATAATATCACCTTCACACCCAGATTTACCTTACAAAAGCAGAAAATGTAAATCAAACATGGAAAATTAATTATCTTACCTCCTGTGGAATATCCATGTGCGTACACCTCTCTGCTTATAATCCATACAACTCCAAGTCCACTGGTGAGGCGCTGTGACAGCCACACAAACACACACAAGCAAAGGTAAGAAAGGATTTTATATGAAGACTATACATTTCTTACTCATATGTTGTGCTTTAGATGCTAAAGATACCGTATGTAACACCTTATTTTGGAGGCAGTATGTTGGTGCCACAGTGGTATGACAGTGCAAAAATCTACTTACAGGACAATGTAAACCGCCAACAGCAAGGCAGAAAAGAAAGGCGGGTAAGACTTCCAGGCTGGTGAGAGCAGATAACAGCATTTTACCTTTCACCCTCTTTTCCATAGTTACTATGAATCATAAAAAGCGTGGTGCAATATCAAACAGTGTATGTGCACAGTGAAGTCGTATTGCCCATATCTGAGCTCATACATACGTGTTTTGGTGTGAACGCTGGATGCAGTTGAAGATGTTTCCAGTTTCTGGGTCGTCACTGTACATCTGAGGGTACTGCAAGGAAACGCAAGTTCAGGCAACTCCAAGTGCTTTACAAAAGGCACAAAAAGGGTCAGTACTCAAGCATGAAACTATGTAAACAAACCTGCTGTGCTGCTGTTTGAATGGGTGGCAGCAGATTTTAAACAGCTTTAATTAGAAAGCGTGGACTTTGTTCTGCTCTATATTTGAAGACATACATCAGAGTGAAGTCAAGTAGAATAAAACTCCCCGAGGCTCAATTTACTTTATAGACAATAATCCAACTCAAATACATTAATACATCAGATCATGACAAAGACGTGATAACATCCAGGGTTGTAGTTTGGCAGATCAGGACAATCTGTATCTATTAGTGCAACCATTGGGGAAGACTAAGCACCTGGAAATCAACATATAAAGAACCAAAGAGATAGTCTGTGCCTTTGTGCTGACTCATCTCGAAGGCACAGAGGCACAAAGGTACTGGCTCACCTGCACGTTGTACTTCTTGCGGGCTTTGCCAACTTTAATGGCCAGATGTGCAACCATCAAGATGCTGGCAGTGCCAGTTAACACCACATATCCATACTCTTTGGAAAGCGCGACCATCCTGGCAAACTGGAGGAAAGAGGAAAAATAATGTGACCGAATTATTATTATTATTATTTTTTTTTTTTTTTCCTTTCTGGTAAGGTAAGAAAATGGAGGAGTTATTTTCCGGGAGCAAAATAAAATAACATAAAATGCTACTTTTTCATTCATAAGAATGCATATGCATCGGGTGCATGTGTTTACCCCCCTCTGTAAAGGAAATGATTTATAAATCTGTCACACAGGAATAAAAGAGTCAGTGAACTAACAGCGGAGAGCAAAGACGCCTTAAACACACAAGGTCAAATGAGGACAAACCAGCGGCGTCACTAATGTTCCACCAACCAGTGTGACAGGAAACATAACATTTACACAACCCGTTAAAAGATATTAGCGTTTACTGTACCTCAACGACGCAGAGGACGAGGCAGACAGCTGTAACACTCAGACAAACCGACTGCACTTAAGTTTCCTACTCGAATGCGTCCCTGTGCGTAGAGGCTTACGTAACGCACGTAACACAAACACACAGCGAGGGCGTGGTGACCGTTTGTACCACACAGCCTGTCTGTCTGTCTGTCTGTCTGTCTGTCGGACAGCAAATTATAGCTAATATGTGCTAAAAGTCACGTGAACTTCCGGTTTCACTTATCAATGAAGTTGCTCCTAACCACAGACATATAAACATACTTTATATGTCTGTGCTCATAACGACACACTGACTGCTCCACAGCGACGTCTCCTCGCAACAATCAGCTCCACTTGTCTGACATGCGCAGTAGACCGCAGGTACACGCACGTTACCGTGGTAACCAGTCAAAACAGGGAACTCCCACCACAGCCAGGGTGGTTAGCAGTGGTTGGATGTAAGTAACACATTTGAGGTTGTCCGCTTTATTTCAGTCCAGTGCTTCCAGTTCCATTTATTATATTACTTCTATTATTTATTTCTTACAGCTTTAGTTTCTAGTTACTTTATAGACAAAGTTTTACATACAAAACATATGATTACCTTATGAACTATAATGCATTAATATAGATTAAACTACCCAGCACTATATAAAATAGTTAAAAAAAAAACACCTCAACCAGCAACGTATACATTAATGCATCAGTAATAATAATCCTTTCATTTAGTATGCAGCCCAATAGCCCACACTTGCAGTATGGGGAGTAGTACAATGCAAGTAATAACAATACTAGTTTGTCCTTAATTTACTTAAGTGAGATTTTTAATGCAGGACTTGCTCACTTGCAAAGAAGAACATTGCTTCTATAAAATTGTAATTTATTTCTTAGGCCATCTTTATTCTTTACGTTTTTGTTCATTAATAGTATTACCTCGTTGGGTTTAAAAAAAATAATAAAGTCATAAAACAGATTGCAAGAAAGATTGAATTTGGCTTAGCTATGAGTTGATTGCATATATGGGTGGCCACCTCCTCTCTAGTTTCTTGCATAAGGTCCTTGAATACTTGCACAGAATTAATTGTTCTCTGTGGTTATTTATTATCAGGTATTGCAGATGTAAAACAATGGGTCTAAGAGTCCAGACAACCAGGAATCTTATCTATGTGTGACTGATTGATATATTCGACACGGCATCCATTTATCTGACAGCGTCAACTTTTACTGCGCTTACAACCCTTTTTATGGCTGGCATTTTGATTTGGCAGGAAAAGCACAGGTGCAAGAAGTAATAACACTAATGACAGCTCCGTCCTTTTGAAGTGCCCCAGTGAGCCGTGACAGTGAGCCGGTCACAGTGACAGGGCCCTGATCCTGTTAATGGAAGGCAGCCAAAAAATCTGCCCTCTATTGAGGTGACCAGGAACCTGACAGGCCAGAGTTTCCTGTATCGCATATCAGGTCAAGCTGAGGTACTGCTGTTAATTGTGTGAGCAGACGCAGGCTCACTGAATGCACTACTGACATAGGACTGAACTCATAATCACTTTAGATATTATAAAATATATTGTTAAATCATGGTGATGTTTTTTTGTCCTTGTTACAACCTAAAGTATGGCAACACACTTTGGATGTAGATCATGTTGGTTGATCTACTACATCCAGAGTGTGTGGTTGTGACCAAAACAGGTTTTACAATGCAAGTTATCCATGGAGATAAATATGGGAGACAAGTCCTTGCAAATACGGTAAAACGTGGCAGACATGCTGTAAGCCAAGGGATTACAAAAACAAACATATTTACAACCTTTGACAGAATTCCTTATATGGAGCTCGTCTATTTGTCTGTCATGCTAATGTAGAATGACAGTGCAGAAAATGTTGTATGTTGTATGTATGCCAGAGGTCATGGCTTCCTGAGAACTAGTTTTACCTGTACAGTTTATACAGTTTCCATATTGTTCCAACTCCTGAGTGAAGCTATATTGTGTTAGAGAAATATTCAAGCCTAAGACTCAATGAGTTATGAGTGGGCCACTGTTTGTTCTGAGGTTAAAGACTGTAAGCATGGGACTTGGGCAATTACCCAGCTGCAAACCATGCATCAGAAAATAATATGAGAAGAGTGTTGCGTGGCAGTGGCTAACTGTGTGAAACATTACCAAGTATTCGTCACTAGATGTCCTCATAAAGTCACTGAATACCATGCCACAAAACAGCTGTGTGGATTAGTTCAGTCCACAGGATGGCAAGTGTGGACAAGCATTAGGTTATAGATGATTATAGTCCTCCTGCTCTTTTTTTGACAGCTCAGAATACCTACAGAAAAAAGAGATAAACTTAATTTTTTGGATGTGTGTGTGAAAGAAAAATAGTGAGCGTGGTCAGCAGCTTGTTGACTGTCGACTCAGGGTGATTTCTTTCACGGACTGTCAGTGGCACATCTGTCCTCCTCCTCCTCCATCATGCTGAGTCTGATTCAGCACTTCAACACCTACACAGAGAACCAAGAATAGACTCAGGACTCATACTGAGACCAGAGAGAGAAGAAAAACAACTGCTGCCTGAGACCACCTTGTCCCATCTCATCTCGTCCCATCATCATCTCCCGGCTGTATACCGGGTACAGTTTGAACTGGGGTGTTCGTTGCCTATAGCTGATATGTCAGTCATTACTGTAAAGCCCTCATAGTGCATATAGGTCTGAGTGGTGTAGATAGTCTGATATGGATCTCCCTCTCTCAACACATCATTGCCCCACTCTCTTGTTTCCAAAGCCCATGTGATCTGATCACAATGTACTTCCCAGGTGTCAAATGCACAGGATTTTTGTTCCACCTCCACACACACACACACACACACACACACACACACAAACAAACACAAACACACCTGAGGCATGTGTAGATGGTGATCACTGTGCCTGCAGCTTGACCACTGCATGTCACCTTCCTTTACTATAAGTCCCACAACTATGCATAGATTACGCTTCCATATACAATTTCTTTAAAATTCTATTTCCATTACCTCCGCTGTCCAGAGCTTCCCCCCTCGCTCCAGCTCACTCCAAAGCGTGAGATCACTCCACAACGCACCCCCCACCCCCACTCGCCGCGCACTTGAGTGCGCCCCCCTCATTTGGATTCAGTTTCGGAAAGCGAGACGATGGCAAACATGTTGTGGAACAACTGACCGTGAACATTGCAAGCAGCGCAGCATGAGAGGACGTTGAGAGCGTTTACAGCGTGTGGATAGATGTGTTCTGATGGAAGAAACCCGAAGAATCAATGACATTTGAAACAGCATGAAGGCATCTTGTTGTCAAGTTCCAGACAGTGGATGCACGCTGGATCCAGAACCAACAGGATGAACTGAGACATTACGCGCAAGAGGTTGCCACGGGCGAGCTTTAGGTTTGACCTCTGTGGAAATAATTTCTGGGACAAACTCGAGGATGTATCAATGAAGAATGTGAGTGTGTCTGACTCTCTCCAAACGGGGTGGATGAAGCCCTCGGCGGTGTCATGCGTCTTGCCCCGCAGCCAAGCGCGCAACCCTTGCGGCTCATAGTTCTGCTCCTCCTCACCACGGGGGTGAACCCATCCCCGGTGCTCTCTTCGGGCTGCCCGGACAGGTGCGTGTGCGATGACCAGCTGGTGGTTCAATGCGCTGGGCAGCACCTGACCACCTTCCCGGTCAACTTGCCGCTGGCCACGCGGCAGCTCATCATCTCCAACAACCGCATCGTGGAGCTGCCACCGCTCGCGCTCAACTACCTCTCCGATCTGGTGTACTTGGACTGCAGCAACAACTCCCTGACCGAGATATCAGAGTCCACGTTTGGGAATCTACGCAAGCTGGCCTACCTGGACCTCTCCTTCAACACCTTGAGCCGGATTGAGGACAGGACGTTCGGCCCATTGGCGAGCCTGGTGATGCTGAGGATGACTGACAACCCGGGGCTCTCGGAGATTCATCCGGACGCCTTTGTTGAAAACGCGGCCCTCCAGGTGCTGGATGTGAGTCGGAACAACCTGACGGTCCTCAACATCACCTCCCTGATCGCGCTGCCCTCCCTGCGCTCGGTGGGGCTCAGCGGGAACCCGTGGAGCTGCGAGTGCGACAATGAGGACCTGTGTCTGTGGGTCCACCTGGAGGGCTTCAAGTTCCAAGGTTTTATCAATCATCTATTCTCTTTTATTCCAATGCCATATACGCTGACATAATCACAACATGACCTTTATTGTTGCTTTTCCCTTTTAGTATCAAGTGGATAGGTCCCAATCACATATATGGACTTCTCTGCTCTCTCTAATGCCCGGTTATGTAAACTATTAGCCTTTTGGTGGTGGCTGCCCTCAATAAACGACCTGCATCCCATGAAGATCTTTATCTAACCAATTTCAGATAGCAAATGTAGCTGTAAGTGTTTTATATTAATGGAGAACATTTTAGAAATAGTTCAGAAAGAAAAACAGACAAAACAGAAAATAACTGAATTCTACCACTTTATTATACTCTTTATATGTTGTAACTAATGGTGTTATAAATGTTTGTTAAATAAATCAGTTATAGCAAGTATAGGCCATTAGTAAAACCAACTTTTGGGTTGCCAGGTTGTGAAAAAATCCTGTTGAGAGCCACAAGTCAAAAATGAACTATAGACCCCCACTGCCCCCCTTTTCCTCCACCCTGGAATGTGTATGCCTGTGTGATGATTTGATTGTTTAAACACTTAAGAATAAGAGCAAATAAGAGCAAAGCTGGAATCCTAAAATCAGATTTTAACAAAGGGAGCCTCTTCAACACGGGTCTTAAGATTACAAAATAAAGCAGGACCCACCTTAAGGCCTCATCTTGTCACTTGATATTGTGTTTTAGTGCTGCATATTCCCAAATACAAATGAACAGTTGACACTATAAGACTGGCGCTTTCGGCAGCCCAGGGCAGTTTGCCTGATGGTCTTTATCCTCCTCCAGGCAGTGTGACAAAACATCTGCCAGAGTGATTTTTCACAACCCAACAAACCTAAAATTGTTGTTACTGAGGGTATATAACTGATTTAGAAAATACTGTGAACTATAAACTCCTAATAAATTGTGCTTTATTACCAATTAAACATACAGACACACGTCAACACACACAACATACCACGCCATCATCTCCCACAGTTCTATCCTGTGAGCTGTAGTGTGTGTCTTACAAGATATGTAGTTGTATGCACTCCGTATGTAACCACCATGGCAGAGCCTGCAAAGTTCACCCCTTTCTCAGCTTTCAGTGGGATGAGACGCAGGTGATGGTAGTGGAGCGTGACAGCACTTAGACTTTCAAATAACAAAGGAGTGAAAGAAGATCGGAGGCAGGGAGCCATTTGATTTCTTCTCTCGCAACTGTGTTCATTAATGCAGCTTTGTGTTCTGCAATTTGGGAGGAAAACATGTGGGTATTTTATGTCGAAATGACTAATCAATCTCTATTTTATCTAGCTACTGGGATTCTGTGCTGCAAATGTGATTAATGGATCATAGTTGCACCATCAAATATCGATCCCCCCTTTGTTTTATTACTGTCAAGCTGATAGATGTGTCTGATATTCCACAATCTGTCTTACTTTGAGTTATTATGCTTATGCTTTGGTGTGGATGTGTCACTATGCAAAAGGGCAGCAGCTATTTATAGTGTGTCTTACTGAGCAAGAAGCCAGTCATAATTCTAACACCATAGCTATAATACGCCCGCCACGCTTACTAAAAAGGCATCCCCTGCTCTCTCTCCCACACACACACACACACACACTATAGTTCACTATGGTCCCTGTGCAGCTTAGGCCGAATCCAAATGAGTCCTGCAAGAGCTGTCCTATTTTCCTGCTGCTCATTGCCTTTTGTCTAGCTTAATTTGGAGTGGAGCCTCTTCTAGTGACAGCTGCCAGCAAGGGAGAAGGCGGACACATAGATACACACACATTCTGTACCTCTGTTATGCATACACACAGTCTGTCCATCTCTTCCAAGCAGGCAGCACAGGCAGTACCACAATATCTCCTCTAAAGCATGTGGAAAGTCCTACACACACATGCATACAAATTCACCTTCACATTCATGCATTTAGGCACACAAACACAGACAAAGCACACTTTTAGTGCTTGAGGGGGGGTGGCAGAAGGATAACACTTTGGAGACGACTGTGTTTCGGCTGCAAGCTCTGTCTCCTTGTTATCTCTCATCTGGGTCTCACCTGGTTCACGCAACACGGCTCCCTTGTCTCCTTGGTTTAGGAGATGCATCAATAGCAAGCGGGTGAGTGAGCGTGAGGGAGAGAAAGCATCAGGAAGGAACCAACAGATTCTCCTCTGTCTCGCCTTCCTGGCTAGATTAGCACTCTTTCAGCTGTTATATAAGGAGAGCGTCTAGAAATAGAGCAGAGTGTGGATGGGGGAAGGAGGGAGGGAAAGCCCTCTTCTTTGATGCCAGTCCTTTTGGGGGGAGGGAGTAAGGGGTGAAGCCAGAAGGGTTTCCTTCATAGCTGACAGGCACACACACACGGATACAAACACGTGCGCAAACACTCTAGCAGACACTGCAAGGACAGAGATAGAAGATGGGAAAGTTATGTCTCGTAGAGGAGGTCTGTGCATGTAGCCTATATAGTCTATGTTGGGAGTATGTACAGATGGGTGTGTTAGTTCTAGCCAGAGTCTAGCAGCATATTGTGTGAACAGTACTCAGCAGCAGCCTTTGAGAGGATCAAAGTATGCTTTTGAATTCTCGGTGGTGGATAGAGCTTAGAGAAGCTGAGTGTCCTCGCGTTCTTCAGCTGCACGCTTATTTTCAGATCTGTGAGCCACAGAAGAGCTTCTATGAGGATAAGAACGGAGATTTATGCACTGAGTGAATAAAATATTAGGAAGCCGTACGTTTCAGTCATCCTATGAAATTAACAATCAAGTGATATGATTAAAAGCTTCTGTATGATCGCTCTCATCCTCTGTCAAATCACACCTCCCACCAACCTGAGTCAGTTATAACACCAACACCTCGTGTTGCTACTGAGAGTGCATGAAAAGTGGTTGGCAAGTTAGCAGAGAACTTGAAATAGTTAGCTAAATGAAAATGATTATGTAGTAATGAATGAATAAACAGATGATATAATTACCTACATTTATTGGACAGACAAGCTAAAAGTGAAAGAAGTGAAACAGTTGAAATATTTAGCTGAAGTGAATACACAGGTAAGATAGCTAAAAGTAGTAGAGAAATGGTTAAAATAATTAATTTAGTAAAAGTAGCCTAATGGATAAACAATTGAAAGGATTAGTTTAAAGTAATGGATAAAGAGTTTAAATAGTTCATTAAAAGTAATGGATATATAGATGAAATGATAGCTGAAACTAATGGAAAACAGGTGCTTGCTAAAATGATACATAAAATGTTAAAGTAGTTAGCAAAAAGTAGTCATTAAACACTGCTACTTGAAGTTGTGGTAGTGGTAGACATGCAAACTAGACCAAATCAAAGCATTCACAACATTTAAACACAACCAATTCAATTTAATTCACAACCATATTAAAAAATACATAATAACAATATAAACTTTTTGTCGTGTCAACTTTGAAATAAATTAAAATGAACACATTTGGAACATGTCGGGTGGTCAATGAAGGGCCACTCAGATGAAAAGTTTGGCAACCACTGACCTAAAAGATGTTTTTTGTGCAATAGGAGTCCCTCTGCAGTCAATGCATGAAACAAAGGTCAGTGAAACTTAATTAAATTCTACACCATTAACATCAAACACTTAGAAGGTGAGAAAAACAAAAATGTATCTAAAACACCATTACTATGATGAATTATTCATGTAAGACTTTAATACAATTATCATACAATTATTCTGTTATGGTCCTTTCCCAATATCTTGCAGAGTCACAGAGCAGCACATCTCCATACAGAGTTCTATTTACTTATCATTGCAATATATGCCAGCAAAATGGGACTGCTGTATTGTAAGACTGTCAGTTTAGAAATAAGGTTACAGAAAACGGTTCCCTGTGCAGAAACTTCCAAGTCTTTTGATCCCTCCCAGTGGGAAATCCCCCCAGCACAAAAGCTTTGAAAAAACAGAAGCCAATTAAAAACAGTGGCCGTATGGAGATGGCAACACTCTGTTGTGTTGTGCTGCATTTCTGCTCACAGTAACAAAAGACTCAGCCAGGCTTCAGGATTATATTCTGAAGAAAATGCTTCTCTTGACAGGCATCATGTGGTGTATTTAATTTTGACTGATAGGCCTTTTAAAATTGTATCCATCTACTGTAGTTTTGTGAAAGAGGAGGAACTCTCTGTTTTCATTAGGATTTGTGGATTTCGGCAAGGACTTAGTCGTAGTCATACCCAGTGCCTGATTATGAGAAACCTTATTATCTGTGGTTTCAGGCAGACACAAAGGCCCAAGTCACTGTCTAATACTGTGGGGGAGAAAGCAGTTTGAATAATTCATCCAAAATTTTTTTTTCTGTAATTTAATGCTGCATCAACTGAAAAACACGGGAAGCTCCTAAAGCCTTGCCATTTTTTGGTAAAAAAGGCAACAGTGTCCTGCTGGGGCAGTTTTCTGCATTATAGTCTTTTAGCTGTGTGATCCTGAATATGTTAGAGATATCTTCAGCTCAGTTTGCTGCCATTTACAAATGTTATGCAAAACAATATAAATATGCTTGAATTATTTAACAGGCTCACAGTTTAATGCGCTATGTATAATATTTCCCTTGCTAAGCTATTTTAGCATTTCACAACATCAAAGGATCCTGCAAAGCATATGATTATTATATGCCAAGGCTGTATACGTTTTGCTGTGTGTAAGCAAAGTTACTTGAGATTTGCAAAGGAGATCAGCAGAGAAATGCACTTAAAAGGCCCTGAGAATATATTTTGTCAATCAGCCTCTTACTCTGAGTGATTCCTACATGCACACATTGTTCCAAAGTTAAAACTGTTTGAGTATTTGTACATGAAAGAAATCTGTATTTGTGTTTTTGTCCTTGCTTTTCTCACTGGTTTGAGGTGAGCAGGGCACAAGGGGATGTCCTGTATCTCTGTGCACCAATCAGGCTTCGTCAGCATTGTAAAAAAATTATAATATGATGTCAGGTGTGGGGTTTTATGTTGCCACCATTGTTAATTAAAGACCGGATGAAGCAAGTTAGCTGAGTTTTTGATTATTAAACTCTTAACAATAAGTTAGGAGATCTGATTCCAAACTTTGATTGTTGCTTATTTACTCATTAATATTTAATATAATAGATAAACAATTAAGATTATAAACCAACTTTTCAGGTTTTTTTAAGTAATTATGTATGCATGTGGTTATCCTGCTTTAATAAAAACAAAAGCAATATTTAATCGACAAAGACCTAATGTAGTTTTACTTGCTACTGTTAAATCAGCAGTGTGTTGGATTCAGCGCCATCTAGTGGTGATGTTGTAGATCGCAACCATTTCAATACAGCTCAGCCTTCCAAGCGTGTTGAATCTACAGTGGCAACAAAACTCACGCAAAACACAAAATCCCATCTAGAGCCAGTGTTTAGAGTGTACCCGCTCTCTCTGTAGATAAAAACGGTTCATTCCAAGGTAACAAAAAACACAATTCTTATTTTCAGGTGATTATAACACTAATGAAAACATACCCATGAATATTATGTTCCCTTTCTCCCAATAGATCCTCCTAAATGTTACACACTGTGCCTTTAAGGTACAATTACTTGTATTAAAAATAAACTGAATTGATTTCAAGAAATTCCTCCTAAACAAGATGACTCAATAGTCTGAATAATGCCACTTCAGGACAGCTGACCTGTTTATTGTAGGTTGTTTGTTAGAATAACACCACCCTGGAACATTAAAATAAAAGCACTTGTTACAATTTACACTATATTTCCTAACCAAATATGTTGATGTTTTGTTTTCCATTATCCTATGATTAATTCTCATCATCCCTTCTTGCTGTGTGTTTGTGTGACAGATGAGGGCCAGACGGTGTGTGGCTCACCTGCTGACATGCAGGGCCGTCGTCTGGGTGAGGTGGGCATCCAGCTACGGACGTTATGTCACCAGACTCTGGGCTCATGGGACTACCTTTTCTTTGTTGTCATCGGCTTTGTCATCTTTGCTGCCGGAACCGTGTCAGCCTGGGTGATGGGAGTCATTATGGTGCTCTATGAGCGGTACATCAAGAAGAAAGATGAACAGCAGGATGTGGACACTGAGGAAGAAACCAGCGAGACGGGTCGTACCTCGCGGGCCAGGAGTGACCATGGCAACGGGAATTTGAAAACGTCACATACTGTTTAAAAGATTTAATCCCACTCTGCCGCAATGGATTCCCACAGTGCCTCCTGTCAACTTCCAGAACTGTCTGTGAAGTCTAATGACGCTGCAGTCAAACTGAGTCTGTTTAACAGGCTCAGCTCAAAGAGAAAAGAGAGGATTCAACAGAGATGAAGAATGTAATTCTTCTTATTTGTAGTGTGCTTTGAGGTGACCTAATGCGCACTCTAGCTGCCATTGTGGATCTAAAAATAGTTTTAGATTTTGGGAACTGTGCTTATTTGCTTTCAAGTTAGTTGAGAAGGTTGATCACACTCTCAATACCTAATTGTAATGAAGCTACAGCCAGAGACAGTTAGCTTATGTAGTGTGGCTCTGTTGAGATTTAACAAAATGCACCCAGCAGCATCTCTAAAGCTAATTAATTAACATGTTGTATCTCATTTGTTTTCTTGGCCAGGAGCAACAACAAGAGTCTCTCCCTGTTACCTGGAAACTGCTCCCAACTAAGAAATGTGTTTCCAGTCTTTATGCTAAGCTAACTGGCTGCTGGCTGTAGCTATATGTTAAACAATGTTAGAGTGGTGTCAGTCTTATCATCTGACTCTTAGCAAGAAAGTAAGTAAGAGTTTTCCCCCAAAATGTCAAACTCTTTAATGTCCAGCAGTAATTTATCAGTCTGGCTCAGACATCAACCAGTTTTAGCTGGTGTGAACTGCTTGTTTTTTACCTTGACACTGTGCATAATGCACCTAATTCGAGCATTACCTACTATTTTCAGTAGAAACCACTGTTACTTTTTAAGGTATTTTACTATATTTAGAGGTGCAGAGACAAGACCAAGTAAAAAGACAGTTTAAAAAAATAATCCCCATTTTTTTTTTTTACAATAAAACAGAATCATTTTGGCTATTTGGAAAAACATACACATACATCATACTATACAATTTGTAATAATGTTACAAATTGGATAGATACACTTGCTGCTCAGTAATATGACAATCTAGACCCTACTTATAGGGTCAGCATTGTTTGCACACAAAATTCCCCAGTGGACCTCCATGATGGCAACAAGCATAGCAAGAGAATTGTGACTCAGCTTCACAGCCTCCACATGAATTAAAAATGGTGTGGTCGGTCTACATAGGATGAAATGCATTTATCCAGTGTAGATGGATAAATGTATGCACGCATTTACACAGCAGCGTGTTCTATGTAGTTGTATGTGTGATTGAGCTTTCGCAGATGTGAGCGCCTCCATCCTTGGTCCAGTGATGTGTGGTTTCGCACTGATAGTTTGCTTCCCTCATCTATTAGCCCAGAAACAAACGGCAGTCACAGTTTATGTGTTGAAGATCTATTTGTGAAGTTTAGAGCCGACATGTGCCAACTGCTGAGTTCTGTTTTGGCAGTCGGCCCTGCTGGATGGCAAGTAAACAGGAGAGTGTGATAATTGATTTCTACTCCATTCTTAGTTTGGTAACGGGTTTGAGTGCAGTGTTCTATCTGTTTCTGCATGCACTGTTGATGCACCGAAAAGCCTTATGAGGTGTAATCATCTGAGATTCATTCTTAAAAAAAAAAAAAACATGCTCCTAATTTCTTGATAAGTCAATTACACTTTTTATTTACACTTTGAATTGAGTGAATTTACTCCAAACCTGGTGTTTCATGAATTACAGCAATAAGTCAGCTGTCCAGAAAAAGAGAATAATTTCAGTTCACAATGGTAAATATCAATACCTGCTTTGTTTTGTTTGCAAGTCCAAGATCACAAACTTAGTGCAGAATGACCACTTCTATATTACCTCCATATTTTTGCTCAAAGTTATCTGGCTGTAACACTCCACTGACCCTGGCATTGACTGTTATGAACTTCTTATGAAGGAAGGAGCAGAAATAAAATGATTCCTTATTGGACTAGGGATGTCAATGGCCTAAAGGTAGCTGCTCTAATATGCCGTCCTCTGTGTTATATTGTACAATCAGCTGTGTCTCAGAATGATTTACTTGATTTAAGAACAAAATAGAACCTTTGAGGGACCTGAGAGGGAGGAGAGCCTCTCACAGTGTTTGGACCAGGTGTTCTTCCCTCACTTTATGTCACTTTATATACTTTATATACAAGTTTTATTATGAAAGTGTTTGAATTCAAAAGCTTGGGTGTATGCAAGTCTGAGTTACTGTAATATATCTTGCAGCTTGGCCAACAAGGTAAAACACCTATTTCACAGCAGGCATTTCGACACGTCACAGAAGGGAAAGCACAGGTGTAGATAAACAAATAAATAATGGTTGAATTCCATTTAGCTGTTTCTGTTTCAGGGTCCTGGTATTGTGCATGCTGGTTCTATCACACTGTCATGGCTTACTAGGACACTTAAATAAAACTTTTTCTACTATGAAAAGTCAAAATATCTGTGTTAAAAACATCTTTTATGCTGATTATGTGACTTTTACTTATTAATTGCTGAGCTGTCCAACTGTTGACTGACTACCAGGTTGTGAGAAGTGAGAGAGTAGTGGTACAACCAAATGCAGTTGTGAGGAATTGGATAATTACCAAGTTAAAGTTATTTGGTACTTGTGTGATGAAAATGTGTTGAAGACAGAGCGGTTAGTCTGTGCTCTGACTCCGCACAATCTGTTATTTTCCTGTAATGTGATCTGCAATACTACAAAGAAACCTTTCTTTACACATTTACTGGCACTCGCATTTTGTTGGGATTTGTCCAAAATGAACTACAAATACAAAAATGTTATTGTTTTAACAAAAGAAACAGGTATAATAACAGCATACTATACAGTACAGACATGCTGGTTATGGGTGGTTGAGTATCAAATGCATTGTCTGCTTTGCTTAATTAGTGTTTATCCAGAGATAATACATTTGTGACATATAAATGTAATATTATTTTCATTAATCAGGGAGTGGTCTTGACTTATGGCAGTATATGTAACTATGCATGTACCAAGCTACTGGAGATAGTGACCCACGTACTGTAACTGTAAGTTGCCTACTAAAACAGAATGCTGAGATGCCTCTGAACATTTGAACCATTGGTTGCTGGTTGCTCTCGTGGCTTTGGGTGTAATATTTGCATGGGTTCCTTCAGTATATACAAAATGCATTGCATAATGTGCATGTCTGTTGAGGTCTGTGTAGTAAACTCTCATCTATATCTATATACAGTACATGCATATATGAGTTAGTCTCAACTGTGGGCAGTATTACATTCTGATGATTAGGCCATGTGACGCCACAGGCAAGGGTGAGGGTGCAGCCTGGAAATAGGAGAGCTGTTGCTGTAATTTATGTCAGCACAGTGACACAGATGGAATGATAAGGAGTACCCGCGTCTCCCTTTCTTAATAAATATGTGCCTAGTTGCTATTCTTGTGTACTGCACACAGGGCAAACAACTGGCCATATTGACACTTTTTGCTTCATATGAGCACTTGGATGTACTTTATAGAAGCTAAATATGCTGTGCTTCAATAATATACTAAGTGGATGAACTGAAATTCAACATTCTGCACTTTTTACACCCCCACACTGCAAACTCAGACCATATTTAGAGGCACATGTATACATGTGCTCTGACACACAGAGACAAAAAGCATCAGTTCTGCCCCCATAATCGACTCCAACACGGATCACCAAGTACAATGTACTGTGTAAAAGCTTAGAAGAAGTGCTCTCCTCTCACTAATGCTACATTAGTGACACTAACCAGAACAGCATCGTCCCACATCATCACCACAGCAAAACCTAAATTTTAAGAGTTAGACGTTTTGGGAACTAGGCTTTTTAGCTTTCTTCTTAGATGAGAAGATCGATACCACTTTCATGTCTTCATGGTAAATATG